CAATTGTCGAGCAGGGGCTAGGAACTGTCCCAGTTCTGTGCCCTGATCACCCGATCAGGGCACACAGCTTGTAAAGAGCTGTGGGGTTGGGGTAGGTCCTAGTCCCCTGCCCTGATCTGCTAGTGGGGCAGCTAGCAGCAAGCTAGCTGTTAATTGCCCCAACAGTGGAACAGGGTAGGGGGCCACCCCTGCCCTGCAGCTCTTTCTAAGTTCTCTGTCCCTGATTGGGGAGCCGGGGCTAGGCTGCTCCCCAGGGGCACGGGGGAAGTGTTCTAGCCTCAGCCTAGAGTCAGCTTTCTCCTCACCCTGTCCTTCCTGCTAGCCCCTGGGGTAGAACCCAGGGGGAGCCTAGAGATCCTTCTGGTGGTGGCAGGGGCACATTGCAGGGTCCCAGGAAGCGGAAGCAGTTTGCTGCCATTAGCAGGAAATCTGCTCCTGCTTCCCTGCACATGTGGACGCCAGCCCAGGAGCATAAAATACGCATGAGTATTTTACTCGCAGGTAAACTGCTCCCGGATCTAATGCATGTGTAGACACACCTACTATGCACATTATTAATCCAAAGACAAAGGCTTGTGATTTTACCACATAGTTCATTGGGTTGGGTCCCACCATAGTCCATAGGATTTTAAGTAATGATGACTCAACAGCTCAGCACTTCTCAGTATGTGTGTATTCTAGATTTCCCCCCCTCCCCTACCCGCTCAAAAAGGGTGTGTGTGGTGACTAGCCCCCACTTACAACTGGAGCCAGTTGTTGTCATGAGTCATGGGATGCTCCAAAAATTTATATGCAGATGAGGTGCAAGGCAACCTGGTGTGGCTTCACCTCAAGGGGGGGGCACGGCTACACTAATCATAGGTGCCAGGTTGAGAGAGAGGGCAACAGGATTCTGGGTTGACTGTTTGGGGCCCTGTTTGGTGATGTTTGCCAGACATTTAAGTCTGCTGAAGAAACAGGAATCATTGGAAATGGGAAAGAAAGGCATAGCTCAGTTGTGAGAGTGAAGAGGAAGTTGAAATGTGTGCAGGGTAGTGGCTCACCATGACTTGAAAAAGAGTTGGCAGTGAGGGGGGCTTGCTTAATGGGCTCTACCATATGCCTTATTCAAATGGACTTCACTAACCTGTCCTTGTGATAGGAACCCATCAGCATGTTTGCCTGATATGGGCCATGTGTATTATACTCAGGCTCAGTGTTGACTGTATTTAATTAGCTTCATAGTTGGCTTTCATTGCTGAGCATATGCTGCTTTTGGCAGCAGGTGAGTAACAGACAATGTATTTAGTGAGATTTTCTTGTGTGGGATCAGAAGATGAGGGGCTTTTTTCCCCCTTGCCAATTGGGAGAAAATCTTTGTCTTGTATTCAGCTACTTCGTCAGCTGTTATGAATACAACAACATGGCTAACTACCTCTGTACTACATCAGGCTTTGAATACTGAAGGCTGTGAAAAAATAATGTATACCTATGATTTAAGGTAAAGATGTGGTGGGAAACCTAAGTATTCATATACCACCTTAAATTTGATTTTTCTTTTTTTCTTTTTCTTTTTTCTGATTTGTTAATGCTTGGCTTTGTAACCTGTAAGGCAATATTTGGCTTGTTTTAATGGAATTAAAAGAGTTTATTTTGGGTATGACACGTTCTTCATCATGACATTGGAAAAAATATTTCCTTACAAAGCACTTCCTTTTATAAGCAAAATGAAACAAGGGGCTATTATCTGTGTTGTCAAAGGATGTTCTTTTTTGTATTTTTAAGTGGTAAATGGAGCTTAAAATGCTATTTATTTTGCCCTAACAACCCACTATCAAGTAAGATTTTTTTTTTTTCATACTTTCCAATTAATGAACTTGTTTTTGTAGACACTTATTTTTCTTTTAGGGAGTTGTCTTCCACCAAGCTGAGTTCCCTTATTTTCACTTCAATGAAATGTGGTTAAATTATCCTTCCCACCCACAATATATATACATACTTAATGTAAACCTGTCTTTATATGCAGCTTGCCTGTCCTTTTTCAAGTACACCTGAACTACTGCTTCAAATATAATAAGAGAAAAATGTATTCTGACTTGTCCAGCTGACAGTTTCTCCTTCCATGATTATACTTGGCAATTGTCTTTTTAACTTTAACAGTGCCCTGTTAGTTTGTGTTTTATTTGTCGTCTTTATCCATCAGTAAATATTTCTTTGTGGTCCTGTAACTCTTCTGTCCCAGCTCTCCGCCCCAGTAATTTAACTCTCCTCTTGCATTGCTTATCTCTTATGTACTTTTCTATTAAACTGAGGTGCTTTAATTGGAAGCAGCAGAGAGATACAGACTAAAAATGGTTTTGCAATTTATTATACATTGATTTCTATTTTAAGTTTCAATAACTTGCATTTCATCAGTTCTAGAACTGCTCTATCCTTCTCCCTGCTCTGTGCAAGATACCCCTTTTTTAAAGCTACAAATTCCACTGTTTTAGAGGGTGGGGAGAGGAACCTTGGGCAAATTAAACCATTACTGTTAAGATGCATGTTAAGATTCCTTTATCTTAAGTTCCAGAAATGAATGCCACATTTGAAAGGATTGGGGAAAAAGAAAGACTTAAATGTTTTACAGAAGATATCTGTTTGTGCTGTTGCTTTATCTCATTTCTATGGACATTTCTGTTGTTAATTATAAAGCAGGTGCACAGTTTTTCTATAGCTCTTAAGACCATTCTGCCTGTGCTCCTGATTAGACATGAACCTAACTTCTTTATATTGGCTACATTTCTTTTGTGCTGCATATAGGTGATTCAGTTCTCATGACATTTGTTATTTCTGTTGTACTTTGACTTTTCCCCAGACCTTGAGGAAAATAATCTCTCTTTGTATCAGCAGCTGGTTGTTTGTAGTGTTTGCAGAATAGCCACAATAAATATACGTCTTCACCCCAGGAACCCAGTTGAATATCCAGCTGTGACTGAAAGCAGTGCAGAGCATTTTGTTGTGTAAGCTTATAAAAAGTTAGGAGAAAGATGGTTACTTGGAAAGCATACATGAGAAAAAGATTATAAAAGCTTTCAGGACTGCGGAGATGAAGTTAAAACAACAGTTCCATCAAATTTTTATAAACATATGCAGTAATCATGCTAGAGTTCTAAAACTCCTTCAGTGAAATGCTTTCTTCTTTTTTACTACTAATTTTGTGTTTACTAAATCTACATAATTGGGTGAAGGGGAGCAGCACTGCAAAGCATTACTCAACCTCCTGCAACAGCACATAATAAGTATAATTTATAACTGGATGAATGAGCCTTTTTGGAGAGGATGGCGCATAAACCAAATAAATAAATAATAAATGTGTCGATTAAAACTGAACTATATAACTTGAATTCAAAATACTAAATATTTGCATGAAACTTCCTGCCAACTACAGCTCAGAATCAACCCCAGGAATTTGGTAATTTAATAAATCTAAAGCTGCTTTCAAAAGTTGTTGTTAGAAAACAGGCTATATTTATTTGAATGTTGTTCTTTTTTAAGTACTCATTCCCTTCTTATTATAAATAAGTATTATAGGTGCATTGCCTATTTGTTTAAAATCAAGAAATCATTATGTAGAAATTGATAAACTCACCTTCGTTAATTAAAGCTAGTGGCGGTATCCTAAATGGACTTTTTGTAGGAGAAGTAGCTGGATCAGGTGGTGGTCTTACATCTCTATCTCTAGGATAACCTGGGTCTCTCTGAATTTCATTACCTCCCAAAAGCACAGGTGTATAGGGTTGACTGTTAGGTATGTGCTGTGGTACCACCTGAACAAGAGGTGGGGACCCATGTGTGTCCTGTCGTGAGAATACCCGCAAGCATTGTTCTTCCAATAAAGAAATAATCACGGACTGATTGTTTACAAGATCAGTCAGTGCTGCATATTTTACTTCGAGCTCTCTGTATCTTGTTGCCATCTTCAGCATTTCTGTTGTAACATTGAGGATTTTGTTTTCCAGTTGGGAAAGCTCAAGAGAATTATCTCGCTTTCGGATTATCTCATGCAAGAGCTGCATGTAAAGTTGAGTGACTCGAGAGTTCATGTTACGACTTTCTTTTCTCAACAATTTTACTTCATTCACAATATTTCCATCTACATCCACCACTAGTTGCAAGACGTCAATCTCCCGTTTCTGCTTGGATAGTACATCCTTTAGATTTTCTATGTCCATCCTTGTGACTTCATCTTTTCTGTTATCAGAACGTGGTCCATTAGTGTTTACACAAATTGGCCCTGTTATTTTTTGTTCAGGAACCAGGAACGTGTAACCACACTTTTTCCCTTCTTCTCCACCATCTGTTGAACGAGGATGCCGTTTCTGGGATACTTTATTGAGTGCAGCCTGTTCTCTGCAATGGCCTGTAGACAGTAGTAGAAATAATACCATACCCAAAGTCCATGTAAATATCTTCATTTTGAAGTGAATGTGTTGGATTTCAGAAAAGACTAAGAAATAAAAAGAAAATGAAAAGCTGAATTCAGTTTTAAGGCCTTACTTTATGTTTAGTAACATATTGGGGGGAAAAAACAATCTTTTGTTAGGCCACATACGCAGCTGAGGCTGTCTGCTATAAATGCTGCCCAAATAAATATTTTCTCATGATGCTGAATTTAGTTATTTAAAAAATGTATTTGTTTAAATAGTTCTATAATTATACAAAGGGGATGTTACACCTTCCTAGCAGGACAAATGTATGCAAACTTGACTTGTTCTTGCCCACTTAAATGGCATTAGCTTTTATACTGTGTTTAATCATTTTAATTATATCTCCAATAAGATTTACAAATAACGATCTTTGGAGATTGCCCTAAAATAGTTATCCAGAATTCATTTTAAGCTAACATGTTTGTAAGAAACAATTATTGATAATGTTAACTCTGCAGTCATATTTTGCTTGAATATTTAAGGTTGTAATTCTTTCGTATGTGAATGGAAACACATACTGACCTTTGTTCTCATGAAACAGAATTTTTACTAAGAAATTAGGGTACTCTGATCATCTGATTTCTAATACAGATCTTAAATTATCTATCACTATTTTTAAATATTTTAATGAAAATTCTAATGAGGGAGTTTACTCAGTAAAGCCATGTGTGTCCTTTCACCTCTTTCTCTTCCATTTTGACGTCTGCTCTGGTAAAGCAAAATAAATACACCTCAGAACTGTACGTCATATTTGTGTGAGGTGTTGAGAAGAGAAAACACTACCCACAATTCTTTTCTGATTTTAACCTTCAAAAGAAAATATGATATATCAGCCCTTCACAAAATGGATGGCAAAATGCATCCTGACAAAGGTGAAAAAGCAGTAAGAATATCCACTTAAAAGAATGGATGCTTTTTTTAGGTGTCTTTGAGGGATTTTAATTGTCATTGTTACACTGCTCCTTCTTGACACTTAAATCATCAACCCCTTGATCTGTAAAGAAGTTGGGTATATTTTATCAGCTATAAATTATAATATTAAAAACATTTAATCCTTTCAACATGTAACAGAATGGTTTTGCTTTATATTGTTGCTACATAGGACAGTAAGAACACATTGAAAAATGAGGCCAGGATTTCTTGGAGTGATGCCTTTTTATTGGACCAACTGCATAGTAAGGAAAGAGTTGGACAAGCTTTCAAATGCGAGGCATTCTTCATTAGGTCTGAACAGTAAAAGCCAGAACAGCGTAGTAAAATAAATAAATAAATAAATAAAAACAGTTTTAAGAGTAGGGCGAGAAATTGCCACGGGTAACAGATGAACAATTAGCAGAAAAAGCTAATTACTGAGAGAGAGGCCTATCAGAAGGAAGAAGGGTCATTCTCAGCTTTCATGCATGAAAATAATTCAGGAATCAGGTATGTAACAATGTGTCATAAAACCAGTATCGGTGTTGAATCCTGGGTTCTTAATGTCCGTCCAGTTTATGAATTTTTGTTCCCAAGTTCTCCTCTTAACAGTGTTAAGTAGATTTCCCTTAAGCAAAATTCTCAATAAAAGCCCAGAAACCTCCCTCCCTCAAAGACAAGCCATAAAGCTATACAGTGAGAGAGTAATCAAATCAGCAGACAAAGGTGGAGCTATAGTTAGTCATCATCAACCATAAAGACTGCATCAGTGAAGCCACCAGACAGTTCTCTTACACCAAATATTATAAAGAACTTGAGGAAGACCCAAAACCAGAATTCACTCTGGAACTGGAAAATATAATCACATCCTTCCCACACCAGCTCTAGGAAAAACTGCTTCCACTATACCTCACTCTCCCACCCCAGGAACTTTGTGCACTCCCAAAGATCTGCAAACAAGGTAATCCCATCATGCCCAACTGTGGTACCCTCCTCGTAATCACCTTCTGTTTGTCTGCTGTCCCTGGGAATTTTTCCCTTCTTACAATTGTGGTTTTTACTATGCTGTATTGGCTTTTACAGCTCAGATGATACTGATGAAGAATGCTGGTCCAATAAAAGATGTTACCCTAAGAAGTCCTTCACTCACAATTATTGGGCCATCATAACTACAACATCACTCTAACACATGAAAAGTGAGATCCCTTCTTTAAATTTTACCACAGCATTCAAGGTGACAAATAGTATTCATATTTAAGTAAACTAATAACTATCCTCTGATCATTACAGTTTTCTTGCTGACTTCAGGGAAAGTATAGTTGGAGCATTAATTTCAGTTTTGACAAGCAGATTGCTCTCTCTCCTGTTGTCTCAGGTATGGAAAAAGTAGAAATGAATCTCTGTCTCTCAACACTGGAGTGAAATTAATGGAAGCTTATTAGTTTCATGCTGTTTCTGTTGCACCATGATGCAAAACCAGTAGCCTAGGTAGGGTTTCTGGCCTGAGCAGTAGCAAACAGGTATAGGTTATCACTTGTCCTTGCTAAATCTTCTAAATGTCTGTTCCCCAAGTATGTCGGCTACAAAACAAGACTGATGAAGACCAGAGCATGCCCCTAATAAAAATATCCTGTAGGTAAAATGAGCTGTGAGTTTTTGTTTTTTTTAAATTATGAAGAGTTCTGGTCTCATCTGTTCTATTGATAATTGTTACTATTTGTGTATGCTTGGCAAACCCCTTCTTTAATCAAACAGAGTAAATATGTTGTTGCTCAGGGCAAGATTTTTTTTGTGGGTGGTATTTTTTTTATTGGACCAGCTATATAGCGTTAGGAAGGATTTAGACAAGTTTTGGGGTACCACAGTGCCCTATGTAAGGAAAGATAAAAGTAAGCAGTATTGCTTTAAATTTATTTTTATAAGAAATATTGTATGTACATGTTTAGCAAACCATTTACGTATGTAGTCTAGTATACAGGAAGGTAACTTGTCATTCACTTATTCTACTAACTAGTTATGCAATGCCTAGTGTTGGAGTTTTGTCAGAATTTCATTTGAATCCTGGTTAAAAACAACACCAGAAATTTAAGATATTTTCCTAATAAACTTTAGTTAAATCCTCCAACTATTATTTTAAAATAACTTTGTACCTTGGGTGCATATATGACTTCACTGACATATGAAAGATGGCACTGCTTAATAAAAAGTAGTACCATGTTTTAGTTCTCTGTGTACATAGACATTTATCTGAGTTTTTTACAACAGCTTCCTATTTTACCCATTACAGCTCCTAATAAATTCCTGTGGCACCATGAAATTCCAAATAGCATTAAAAAAATATTTTATTAAAAGGAACATAATTGAGTTCTGATGCTGTCAGAGATGCAACTTAATTACTACATTTTGTTGTGTGTTTGTTTTTAATTTGGTGAACAAATGGAAGTAAAAATAGTGTTCTATAACTTTTTTCCTCTGAAGGATATTACAAATAAATGTCTTAAAAGCAAGCCTACTGCAATGAAGCACTTAATCCATTCCAGTGTTCTGCCTCAATTAATTGTTCTCATTCCTTGTAATAATTTATTATATTTATAGGTCTTAATCCTACCAGCTTATTACTTTTTTTTTTTTTAATTGAAGGGTGTAACTTACAAGTGTTCTCAGGATTTTGGCTTTAAATGTGCTCTCTGATCACAGGATGAACTAAATGGCATAGCATATAATAACCAAAAGCTACTGGCTGCTCAAGTTTTGTCTTAGTGCTCCATAATAAGCAAAAGTTGAGCCATCTGCTGATTGGACTTGCATTAACCTTAAATACGTTTATAATTACGTTAACAGCTTGGGTACATGACATTTACAACAGCATAAGTGCCTCATCTGGGGTTAAGTCACTGGGGGATAACTTGTACCTACTAGTCTAGGTACAGTGAACTATAAACTGGATATGAACCACCAATGTGCTCTTGTTGAAAAAAAATGCCAACAGCATAAAATGTATTACAAGGAATCTCACTTGCAAATCAAAAGAAATGATTCTTCCACTCTTATTTGGCACTGGTGAGGCTTCAGCCAGAGTACTGTCCAGTTTTGGGCCCCACACTTCTTGGAGGATGTAGACAGATTCAGAAGAGTCCAGCAGAGAGTGACAAACGTGAGTAGAAGCCTGAGGAATATGGTTTATGAGGGAAAGCTTCAAGAAGTAGGGTTATTCAGTCTGGAAAAGAAAAGACAGAGGAGGGGGAAGGAATTTGATAACACTCTTCAAATACATAAAGGGTGTTTAAAGAGAGAGGATGGAAATAGTCTTTCCTCTGTGGCTGTACTAAAACAGGAGCAATGGTATTGTGCTGCAGCAGAGGAAATTCATGTTGGATATTAGGAAGAACTTTCTGGCTATATGGGTGGTTGAAGCACTGGAAGAAGCCAAGCCACCTAGAAAATTGTGGCATCTCCATTCCTGGCAACTTTCAAGAGAAGTTTGGATAGACTTCTGGCTGGGATTAGTCATGGGTGGTCCAGCCTCCAGCAGGGGTCTGGACCAGATGACCTTGTGAGATCCTTTTCTGCCCTGTTTTCCTGTGATCCTGTTGAATGTCAGTGTCCATCTCATAGAAGCCATTTGTTACAAGGCAGAATCTACTGCAAACTTCCCTACCGTCTAGTGGGGAGGTATTGTAAATACCACCTACAGCAAAAAGTTAGCATGTATTGCTGTTTGTCTGTCCTCTCAGGACTCCAATGCAACTTACATCAATTTAAAATACTAACATACATTCCACGAAGGTAAATACCATCTGTTCAGACCCCAAGATGAGTTTCTTAGAGTTGGACTGTTAACTTCTATACTTTGAGCTGAACAAGTCTTTACATGGGGCTAAAAATGTCTGTTTTTGAGAAAAACAGAACTCCAAGGGCCTGACAGGTAAGTGATAGAAGCAGCATTTGCAAGCAGTGCTACTTTAAAATGCTTTTTTTAATGATGTTTTTTACCCCATCATGAGTGAGTTTAAACCTCAAACACGGGGTTAGGCAGCCTGTTGGCATTTTTCTGGTGCTTCTTTAACTACTTCAGTTCTGAGCCCATGTGATTGTGCAGCAACCATACTGAATGTCTACCAAAGTAGCAGTGTCTTAATTTGTCTTCACAAAAGCAATGTTAACTACAGCATTGATCATTTTTACAGAAGTATTCAGAATTGTGGGCACTACGTGAGTACAGTACTATTGCATTTTTTTTATTTTTTTTTTTGGACAGAGGACCCTGCTATACATTACATGCATTATGCAATTAACTGGCTAATTACACAATAAATTTAGACCAGCCACAGATGCAAAGTAATCATCGCATGATAAAAATGATTATCTAGCTATAGAGAGCCAACTGGCTATAAAGTTAGTGCTTGAAAATGTGCAACAACTCTAGCTGGTTTCTGTCCAGCTTTAATTTGACCATGTAGCAGAGCCCTTACTCTTGGCTCATTTTTAAAGGCAAATGTGCAAAGCCCTTTCCAGTCTACCTTTTAAATTAGTGATTTTTATTTACAAAAATTATATTCTAATTTTTTTTTTAATTACAAAGAAGCTATTTATTTGGCAACAAAGAACAGAATTCTTAACTATAAAAGATCAAAGTGAAGCCTGACCTGGCTCTTCACTTGCAGTGCAACATTAGTTTCTCACTGGTTATGGCATGTTATCCGAAGAAATGCTGTAGATCTTTTAAACGTGTCATTTCTGGCAGAGGCATAGAGAAGAGCAGGTGTGCAGAATATGCTTTTGTAAATAGCATATTTGAGTTGTCTGCAGAGCAAGCTATTTGTTTTCATTTGAAGTGATGTGATTTTTTTCCTACTGAGCATACCAAGATTCTAAACCATGGAAGAAATTGTAAAGTACATTGGTTTAATTCAGTTTGTTATACATATCTGTTTCTCTTAGTACCTGTTCTTCAGGTTTCATAGCTTTTAAGACTTACTGGTATGGTAGCCTTTTGATCATATGAACATAGTCCTACTTTTTTTTCCTTTTATTACTTCATGTATATTTTGTGACTTGTACTTTTGGATCTTAAAATCCTATTCCAAGTAGAAAGGTTTGAGAGAGGGGGAGGAACCTTCTCTCAAAGAAAGAATCCAAAGTTTAATTACAGCAAATGAAGAGAAATTTTACATGGTGTTTCTGGGGACAGACTTATTCTTCGTGTTTGAATGATGGATATGTCATCAGTGCATTTATCTACTTTGTCCAGTGTTCATATTTTCAAAAAGATGCAGTAATAAAAATAAACAGCAACTGATACCCTAATGTTAAAAGGTTATCATTTTTTACATAGTATGAGTTTATACATTACCATGTATGACATCATTTGAAGTGTTGTTTGTGGCTGTTTAAACAACTGAAATCTCTTAGGGTTCATCGATATGGGGAAATGTATCATGTGACAGTCCTATTGTGGAATAAGCATGGCTCTTGACTTTAGATTCAGCTGCTGCTATAGTGACATTTTATATTGGGGGGGGGAATCACTGTACTTACTGTGGAATAAGATTCCAACATGTGGAGTTAAGTTGGCATAATGATACCAGAGTGGTTCTGCTATTAGATTTTTTCCATGTAGACTGGCCCTTTTCAACAAGTTGCTCAGCCTTAGACTGCATAACTAGATTCTTATATTGATATTCACTGCAACTTTGTAGTTTGTGTGTTTTGATAAATGCACTGTACAAAAATAATCATAATTAGATCTCCTATACCAAGTAGCCTTTGTGGGCTAACCAGAGTTTAAAGTTTAAAAAAAAAAAAATTAAATCACTTGTTTTGAAGCAGAGGTAAGGGGAGGGGGAAGTTTGAAAATTGCTTTAAAAATTAACAATTGGAAGGATCGTGTTAACACAAAATAATTGCAAGGTTGTTATAACATATGTCCTGAAGTCACAGGAAAAACAGTGACCTTATCAGAATATATTTTAAAGCTATTCAGATTCAAAAAGTGCTGCATTCCTAGCGCCTAGAAATATGGGGATTTTTGAACCCCTATTACTTATTTTAGCTTGTTAAAAAGTCATTACATGGGTTCCTTCCATGTGTAAAACTCGGCAGTCTAACATATGTTTAGAAATGTGAATTATTTAGGGGCTCCAGAATTCCTAGTGGAACAGATACTGAAAACATTAAGCACTTGGCAATAAGTAAGCTCTGAGAAGTTTTGCTTCATTAATCACTATATAAATCTCACAGACCTGATTAATAGGGCACATGTGAGGAACAGCAAATTAAACCCAGTAATTTCTGTCAGAGTATTCTTGGTAACAGTTATGTAGCTATTGGCAGATGTTCAAAAGTTCTAAGGCCTCCAAGATGTATACACAATTAGTTTGAAACTTAAAATTCAGTATTTTCTCTCATTTAGATCTTTATCGTTTGATGACCATATAAACCATCAATATGTCACTGGTAATTTAAAATAAGTCTTTTACAGCAAAAGCCGAAAGCTTAGAGGCCAATGGAGGAGTGAATAATTTTTCCTATGAACATTATATAACTTCAGAGCTGTTGACTCAGCTGCTTTCTGTTGCAAGAGGTTTAGGAACTGTTCCTAAATTGTACTTGGCTAAGAATGAGTAGAGAATAATATCTGAAATTCACAGTGTAGACTTTCCAGTGACATTTAGTTTTCCTGGTTAGTCCCTGTAATATTTTAAGGGGAGTAAGATAATGGTTAGAAAAAGCAGAATTTTATCTTCCAAACAATTTGAACAGGCTAAATCTTTTTAGTTGAGAATGTCTTGTGTTTCCTTGTACAGATGTCATTTTTTTGCAATTACTTTAGCCATACTTAAATTTCCATTTAGCATTTTCTCTTGGATTCTTCACTCTGTAGGTTATTCCCAAGGGCTGGCTAATACAGTTTACTTTTTCATTTATTCTAAGTTTACTATGTTTGTATTCATCCATCTTGTAAAAAAAAAAAAAAAAAAAAAAAAGCATTGAGGGATGAAATGTGGAACTTTTACCTTGATAACTTTTTTTTTTTTAAATAAGCTTTTATCTTCTGGGCTTATTACTAGTTTTCAAGTTCTAAATGTTATCATTTTCAAAGAAAAGAGCTTAAGTCTGTTTTCTGCTTAGTGGTAAACTATAGTTCACAATATCCTTTATGAAAGTTTTTAATGATTTTGATTTTCCTTACTACAACCAATCATGCAGTAATTCACTTTAATTTTGTGAGTGTGTTTGCACTTGCTAAACAGGCACACTATTATCCTTTGTTATATGGCTAAGAAGGATGCAAACTTTGCTCATATACTTTACTTGGTTTTGCAACAGGTTTTGTTAAGAGACTTGTTCTGTTTGAATCTGAATCTATATACGACCAAAGGATTCTTGATTTGGTTGCAAAACTAGAGCGGTTGTTTGAAAATGAATTTAAATGTTAGTCTATAGAAATCCTTCTACTAAAATGTTGCATTGGGCAGATGTGGATTGCTAGCTGTTTATCATATATGTCAACTTGGTTTTTTTCATAGCAGATTTGCAATATCCATTTTCTAGTTCTAATAGTACTATCTACCAGTATACTTTCTGACATCGGGTGAAATTTTGGCATTGTTAGAGTAAATGGGAAACTTTCCTTTCATTTTAGTGCATCCAGGTTTCTGTCTGTAATGCTCAAAATACCTGAGTTGTGTGCACTGCTTATGTTGTATACGTGTTCAGTTTTATGCTATAGTGCGCACGCTCGCGCTCGCTCGCTCGCTCGCTCTCTCTCTCTCTCTCTCTCTCTCTCTCTCTCTCTCTCTCTCTCATTAAATTATACAGATAACCTAAATATTCAGATGGAATACAGTAAGAATGCTTTCAGTACAACTGAAATAATTGGTTCATGCTGTCAGTTTTCTCATGTATGTTGAACTATTCCTGTTTGTCATAGTTCTTCGTTGTGTACTACAGAAATGAGTTCAATGTTTGAGCTGTCACTGAACTCTTAAGCAAGTGTACCATGCATAATTACATGTGTGAGATTTTGCAAGCAAGTCTGCATGTGTATGAAAAATAAGTAGAAAACTTACCAACAAACAAACCTTATCGATGCTTTGCTTCTGTAGTAGATTGAAAATCCAAAAGTCAACTTGCTTTCGCTTCTTGCATTACCCGGTATTGTGTTTTGTTAATCTGTCATTCTAGTGAAGACTGCTTTTCTGCCTTCCCTTGTTAGATCCAAGCTGCATTAGAAAATCGAACTTTTCCATACAGTTAACCAAACTAATTAAATTAATTAAAAAAGTATAATTGAAGTTCCAGTGTATTCTGTTCCAGAAAAGGGATAGAAGTGTTTTTGAAGCTGCAGTGTTTTATGTGTTACTTGCAGGAACGCACTAACTAGCTACAGCTGATCCAGATTCCATATAGAGCACGCTTGGGCAGTTTTTCTTTTTTTAAACAAACACACACTAGACTTAGATGTTCAGCCCACCTATGATGTCATTTTGAACTCATCGAAGAACAGAAGAAACTCCTCCTTTCCTATCCATAGTCTCTGGAAAAGGATGGGGGAGGGAGCCTGAAAAGCCATGAACAAGGAAAGATTGTTTGCCAGTTTAAGGCAGGGCACCATATGGCAACAGACT